GATAAATCAGTAAATATTAAAGCTAATTTATTCAAAATTGACGCCTGCTACCATCATTTATCAAGAAATACGTTTATGATAAAATTTTGGAAAATGGGCGTGGTACCGCCCACTTATGGTATGGTTATTGTGCTTGCCACATAAAAGCAAAGCGTCGAAAATTGTTGAAATCGGCCTAAAATTACGGCCGCTTTTCATATAACAATAAATTTCAGAAATGCTTGAAATTTCAATATTTCGAAATTTAAGGACGCTAACTTACTCAAAATTGAGACAACCCGGCTTACCATGTAGCGGTAGCTTGCGGAAAGGTGAAAAACATATATTTAATACTTGCGCCGGGTATTTAATGTTCGGCTCCGCCCGAACTTAGACTTTCTTACTTGTTTTCTACTCGTTTATTCCATGGGGTCTTCATGCTTTATTTAAATTTAAAAAATTAAATTACTATACCGTTTTAAAAATCTGAAAATTCACTGCGGGAAATTTTTTTATTCTCTTTTTGTCTTCGCCTTCTCGTTTTTGCCTTTATAAGTTTTGAAAAAAGGTTTTGAACGAACCATTATATCACATTCCTAGGCAAGTTTTAAAATAAAATGTTGAAATCAGCTTCATATAGAAACAGTGTCATCGTTTATTAAGAAAGAGATGTTCTTAAATATCATAACTTTACGACACTCACATATTGACTAGATTTGACTATTTATTTTATTATATTTTAATTTGAATTATTTGTTTATAAAAACATAGTTTATTCCTTAACAAACACTAAATGAAAATAAGTTTAATCTTTGAACAACATTAAAAAAAAATCGGCAAACTTTTGTAAAAATTTCGAACTTTCTATTTCAATTTTATCTCTTAATATTTTGCAGTTTTTTAGCTCATTCAATTTTAGTCTAATAAAGTGCAAATTTAAAGTAACTGTGATTTACAGTTGATGTATGACATATTTTTGACGATGTCGGTAATTTTCTTCCATATTATCTAAATATGTTCAACGATTTTTTTAATGAAGAAAATGAGAAACGCCTTCATAAAAAAAAAAAACTAAAAATCAACGATAAGTCGCAGCTATGTATTTTAAACTTGCGCTTTATTTGAATTGATCGGGCTACAAAACTGCATACTCAAAATATGTATCTCTAGGAAATCGAATTAAAAAGCTTTACGAAAGTACGTTGATTTTTTTAATGTTGCGCAAAGAGTAAACTTTGGATTTATACGGATTTTGTTAAAATGTAAACTGCATTTTTATAAACAAATAATTAAAATTATATAATTTTAAGATAAATGGCCAATTTAGTTAACATGTATAAAGTTTTGATAAGCACTTGAAATGTCGAGTTTTAGTACTGAATTCAAAGAAGATGTCTCTTCTATCCATTCATAATCACTTAAAAAAATTTGTTTGTTAAGAAGTGTATCTTAAAATATCTGCCTTGACTTTTATATTAAAAGTGTAAAATATGTAAATGTACCTACATAAACTTTCCCGTGAATACCATCAAATCATTGGTCGTGAAGAGAATCTATGTATGCATGCATGCATGCATATGAGCAAATTAAAAATTCGATACAATTTACAGTCGAAGAGTACAGTTTTTGTATAGATTATAGATTATTTCCCAACACTGTGGGAAACTAGGCAAAATGGCTTAGTGTATTTCGCAAATATTCAAATACATAATCTACCAACCGATAATTTTATATTTTCATTAAAAGATAATTTGTCATCAGTCTGAAATAAGAAAATTATAAAGCGGAAGGGTAAAAAAGTATTGTGTTATTAATTCAAAAATAAAAAGTTTCATTTCACTGACGAAGGGGGGGGATCTATCCCCCCAAATCCCCCCTGGCTACGCCACTGCTTGAGAGCCTACCAATTCGAGAAGTTAGAAAAATCTACTGAAATAAACAAAAAGCGGTGACATCCATTGTGATGTCTACTTTAACGCGTAAAAACGAGCTCCAACTGGCAACACCAAGGACCTGCCGGTCTATGTGTGGCTCAACGCCGTCCAGATTAATTTAACCTTACTTTGCAATTAGTTAACGTACATATAAATAAGCAGTTTTAAGTAAGCGGTTTTTGTTTCAGCCCCTCCCATACATGATGTATTTTGATAGTAGAAGAAAAGAGGGACAGTTCGCATTACGTCCCATGTTTCCATATGACAACGGGCTTAAAAACACTTAAATTATCTAACATGCACGATTGTTTTTTATTAAAGCTTGTTACAAATGGAGTTACTAATGTATTAGCTAATTTTTTATCACCGCTATATTTTCTAAATAAAACATGTAACAAAGTCTAAGTTCGGGCGGAGCCTATCATTAAATACCCAGCGCAAGTATTAAATATATGTTTTTCACCTTTCCGAAAGCTACCGCTACACGGTAAGCCGGGGTGTATCAATTTTGAGTAAATTAGCGTCCTTAAGTTTCGAAATATTGAAGTTTCAAACATTTCTGAAATTTTTTGCTTCCATGTGGCAAGCACAATAACCATACCGAGTTTGGCACAAATTGTTAGAACGGTTACCGAGATACATATATGTGATCATAAGTGGGCGGTGCCACGCCCATTTTCCAAAATGTTATTATAAACGAATTTCTTCGTAAAGAATTGTCGCAAGCATCAATTTTTATTTATTTGAATTTTGAATAAATTAGTTTCAATATTTACTGATTTATCGAAGTTTTCGTATTTCTCTAAATTACCGTTATATGGGATGTGGGCGCGGTTATGGTCCGATTTTAAAACTTTTCGGCCATTTAGTATGTTGTACCAAGGCCAACAACTGTGCCAAGTTTGGAAGAAATTGGTGCAGCGGGTACTAAGATATACACATGTTACCATAAGTGGGCGCGGCTTCGCACATTTTCCAAAAATTTATAATATTCTTATTTTTCGTCTAAAACTTATTGTAAATATCAATTTTGAGTGAATAATCTTCAGTAGTTACTAAAATATCGCAGTTTTCGTATTTCTGAAAATTACCGTTATATGGATGGGAGGTAGGCACGTTTATTGCCCGATTTTGCCCATCTTCAATACCATCCGTCCTACGCCCAAAAGAAGTGCACATACCAAGTTTCGTTGGGATATCTCAATCTTTACTTGAGTTATCGTGTGCACAGACAGACGCGCGGGCGGACGGATGGACGGACGGACGGACAGACAGTCACCGCTTAATCGATTTCTCTTTTCATTCTGATCATTTATGTTTACATTTGTCTATATCTGTCTCGATTCGTTTTGCCTGTTACAAGCAACCGTTATGTGAACAAAGTTATAATAACCTTGTGCACAAGTGCGCTCGGGTATAAAAAACTATAAATGCAATAAATGTATTGTTATTTCTTTATAATTAGTTAGTTAGTTCTCAATCTGCCCACAAAATTGAAGTAGTTTTCAATCACGTAATACGGTATGTATTTGGTTTGGCTAAATTTGATCACATTTCTAGTTGGAGATCTCGCCTATTGGGCTGTGAGATACCTGAGTACTTGAAAGCAAGGAATTGTATTTTTTTATTCCGTTTAATGTCGGATAAGCTACCTAGCTATCTGTATAATAAGCTAACCTTTCCAAAATATGCCCGTATAAGCGGCTTAATTGTACCTAGCTTTAATTATCTTAACTCTGCAAGACTATTTTTTGTCAACGCCACGCGTTTATGGAATTCTATTCCACCTGCTACTCGCTGCAGCTTAAACAAGGACAACTTTAAGAATGTGTTGTTTTCGTACTTTCGTCAATAAGTTTTTGTACTCTGAGTTTCACTATCTGCTAGGATTATCATATGTGTATGTATTTATCTACAGATGTTAACGTTTTGTGTCGTTGTGTTTTTACTTAAGTAAGAATGTTAGTTTTTAGTCTTAGAATTAGTAGCATTTTTCTTTTTCTTTTATTTTATTTTTAAATTATTTTATTTTTTTTACTTATTGTTTTCCTTTCGTTGCTTTATGTTTGTGCTTTATAATTACCGTTGTACTATAAAAGAGCTTTAAGATCTTATTGTACTAATGAATTTGTTTAATAAATGAAATGAAATGAAATGAAATGAAATGAAATGAAATGAAATATAACATTTCAATGGTTTTCTGCCACTTCTTATTTTGTTCAAAGAACACACGTGTATTACACTCCATAGACAGCAAGACACTCACGGAAGCGTAAGCGTTTCGAAAGAGACACCTTTTAGCAATTAGCTAACGTACATATAAGCATTTTTGAGTAAGGGGGGTTTGTTTTACACCCTGTCATACATGATGCCATATGGCAACACGGGGTCGATTTGGTTTAAATAGCTATATTAATTGTAAAAAACCCTTACACATATTTGTGGAAATTCAATTCCCAAAAAAATGCCAACAAAGTAATATGAGGAATAACTCTGCCACACTTTAAAGTTTCTTGTATTTTCCAGATTTTTTCTTTTTACACAGTTCTTGCACAAAATGTTGTTCAGGCAGTTTCTGAAATCCAATTCTTAGAGCAAATTACTCAAGTTCACTTTGCATCCAAATTTTGGTGTTCTTTATTTCTGGGTTTTCATCTCAAATGCACTTGAATTAATTTTTCTGTTTTCCATATCCCTTTCAATCTGTAAATCCTGGGATTCCCGAGCTGCAATACTGGGACTTCTGGACAAGGAAAAGTGTCCGGGATTCCGGGATTGAAAGCCCTAGTACGTACGTATTGAACTCTGAAAATGTGGTTTCCGTCAGGTTTTCCGATCTGAAAACAGCCTTGTGGCTTTAACATGACTGTGGTTGCTATTCATAATATATGTCCATCTTCATCTCAGTGGCGTTGTTCCCAAACCCAACTATGATCTATAACCCATCTATGATCGACTCATTAATCTTGTTTTACTTCTAATCGTGCTGTTCGTATTGTACATTCATTCATGCCTATATTTCATACAAACATTGCATTTAAATGTGTATATAATGAGTGTTTAGTCATTAACATATTTTGTGTATCTACTTCGCGTATTTATTTATAGATGGGGCCGTGGACATCCTGAAGAATATACTGACGCTATGCATTTAGGGGAAGAACGCTTCGATTCAATCGATTCTGACAAAAAACCTCGAGCTGGCCAAATTCTTTGGATAAGAGGACTAACACGTTTACAAACTCAGGTAAGTGATTTGTGTCTGCATTTGGCTTTTTGAATATATATTGATAAAAAAATTATATATATATTTGTGTATATGCGTATACATATCCATAAAGCTATGTATGTATGGGTATATATAAATATAGTATATATATATATATATATATATATGTGAGATAATCTAATGTATACATATATTAACTCTACGCACATTTATCTTTATCGCTAGAAATGGTTTGATAGATTCTTTAAGTATTATTGGATATCATAACCTGATTATTTAGTTATATACATACAAATACATTTATCCCATGTATTTCGCATATTTACACGAAACTATTACTTTAATAATCACTTTACTCATAATTCAATCATTAGTTTTTATCTCATTTTTGTTTTATAAATTCAGTTTTACATGCCATATATACACACATTTACATATAAATTAGCATTAATATATGTACATATATGCATATATTAATTACATTTTCAGTATATAAATATGTATATATGTATATAATATATATACACAAACGTATATAAATATACATATATATGTTATGTACACATATACAACTAAATTGCAATTACCACTTACCCTACTTCAGAAGGTTATTTATGTTAATAAGCTATATATATACATATACGCATACATATACATACATATGTATATATAGGTATACGTAGCTATATGGGTGGGTGGATTAAAAAGTCATTTCGTATTCTTCAAAGTTATTTAATCGATTATATTTTATCACCATTCGGTTAGTTTCATGAATCGGGGATTTATCTGAATGTGGAGGAGACAAAGAAAGAGAGCGGAACAAGTGTCTCAACACACCCCATCTTAGCGCCAAAAATTATTGACGTGTCGTCAAAGATGTGTGTATCCACATCTCATAACCTGGTATCATACTTTGTAAAATTTTTGGGGATGCTGCTGTGGTAGCAGCCCTTGGTCAGATCTATATATGGATCGTTTCGGTCACAGTATATACAGTAGTAAACCTTTTTGAGTACTCCTCGGGGGTAAAATCTGATCAGAGTTGATAATGAGAAGGAGCAAATAAAAATAATTTAGTTATTTGCAAATTAAAAAAATAACTCAGCGTTTATACGGCAAAGTTTACCATTTTGCAAATTGTTATTTGCAAATAATACGTGCATATAAACGTAGTAATAGATACTAGTACAGATTATCATAGTTCAGTGTATAACTTGTTATATTACACAGTACATGGTAATGAACTGTTAAATGCTGAAATTATTTTTCATTAAGCATGAATATCAGCATACATTACTAATGAATATTATACTTAACCTACATTTTGTTCATAAATAACACATAACTATGTATATTTTATCCTGGAAAAGAACTTTTCTTATCATTAGGCGAAATTCCCCACAGTAAGTGTTGCCTTGCGCGCAATACGAAAAAGATGCACACAACCCAAAAGTACTCCTCGGGGACCAAATGGTGAAAAACTGCGAAAAGGTTTATTACTGTATATACTGTGGTTTCGGTTACGTAGACGCTACAGTCGTAGGAATGTCCCTTCGAACTAATTTCACTGCATCAACTACGTAATTTTTTCGCCTTCAACCTCGGTGGGCCTTCATGACTAAGGGCCATCTTTGATATCCAAATTCTAGTGGCATTTCTTGAGTCAGATTTGGCACTGGCATTCTTTTAAAACATGTCCACCTTTACGAAGGTCTTGACAAGCTTGACATGCGTTATTCGCTATATGGAAGTAAAAAAAAAGAATATGCCGAAAATGCACTCCTTGGTCTTCCCTCTTAAACCTTTTGTAAAATCTGCAAAGCTCAACGAAATCGCTTATGTATATATACGATTAACTTCAGTGTTGCCAGAACTGTACTAACGCCAGTTTTTTAAAACATACGCAATGACCTTTTATTACTCCACCCAATATATGTATGTATATACTCCACGTTGGTCGGTACAGACATAAAACAAACTGGATTAGCCCTTCTCCTTTCTATTACATGGGTAAAATATGTCGGCTGAATATTATTCTGCTAACTGATAAATTTAAATTAACAAGACAAAGTTTAATAAAAAAAATAATATTTTTGCATATGATCATCTGCACATAATGTACTATTTTCAATACAAAACAAATTTAACATCTTAATTCCAGTATTTTGTTATTCATGTTCCATCCGTATTTTTTCGCGGATTTGGTTTTGCCCTCCGGGTTCGGGATATATTACTTCACGAAAACAAAATTAATTTTTCACAGGAATTCCCTATTAACGCGTTTAAAGTTACATATATAACACTAATAGTTTTAAGTTTATCTCCATTTCTTTGCCATATACTTTTCTTTTTCATACTGAACGAGAAAGACGCTAAAAAATTATATTTTGTTTATTTATGAAATCCATTACAAAATAGCAAACAGACGTAGTGTAATAAAGATTAATGACCAAATTCTGGTTTCAAACACTTAGTTTGATTAAAAAAAGCGGGCGTGGCAGTTATGTTGAAATTGCAAGCATACTTGATCGAACAAGAGATTAAGGGCAAGAGGCAGATAATGAAAAGGACAACATTAAAAATCCTTCGTGCATTGATAGAATACGATCACCTCCTAGGTCGTTTTTAAACTTTTTTTACAAGACTTTAATCAAAAGCTTTTACGACTACGTTTCTAAAGGCCGAAATCTGAAATATTTGCGTGTTGCTTTTAATTATTTATTGTCTGAACTGATGAAAATTTGCGTTCAACTACTGCTATATCGTATTTATAGTAAAAGTGTTGGTGGTTGGTGCTATTATAATTTTTTTCGTAAATTAGTTAAAAAAAAAGTTTCAAACATTCCTATATAGCTACTGAATATCATTTCCTTAAAAGAATGGTAATTTGAAGGATTTTAATATTTCCTTAACAATATTCATACACTTGTAGCCACGCAAACCCTACCACAACTTTTTTGTACTTTGGTAGAATTTTGTTAGTTAATATTTTTTTTTATGTAGTTAAAACCGCAACAAAAACGATATCAACAAAAGTTTCAAGCTTTGTACAAGATTTTGAGAAAATTATCAATGTTAGGAAAATTTTGGGTATGAATTAAACTGGCTCATTTAATTTAGTACAATATAGTGCAAGTTTGAAGTGGTTCGAATTCTCGGTAATTTTTGAATTTTTTTCTTGCCGACGATCTTGGAACAAATGGAATACAAATGGGCTACTTTAAACTTGCATTTTATTATACTAAAATTAAATGCGCTAGTAACTGCATAACCAAATTTTCCTAAAAATTGTTATTAAAAAGTTTGAAATTTGAATAAAACTTTGATGATTTTTTCTAAATTTTCTACAAAGTTTGAAACTTTAATTTATATAGTTTTTGTTGCTGTTAGAACTATATTAAAAAAATATATTATTTTTATTAATATACAAAATTCTACAAAATTAAAAAAAGTGGTGCTAAGGTTTACGTGGCCACGCGTGTATCTACATACATATGTGTAATAACATCTTCCACTCATGAATAAGTGGTACAGTGATATAGAAATAATAAAAATAAAGAACTCTCAATATTTCATTCTACATAAATGTCATCCTCTTTAAGGAAAAAGTCAATCGTGCAGAATCGCAAAAAATTAATTGAAATAAGAACACTTTTACCACAAGATTGGTAAGGGAATGTTCCAAACGCGGGGATAGTGTTTTAGCCTCCGGATATTACCACTGCAGCGCCGACAACTTTGATGATGTGTTTGGTATTTTAAACCCTCCACCCACAAAAAATAGATATAGTGTGATCAATTGGGTGTTAGGGTTAGGTTAACGTTTGACAACGCTCGATTTCTTCACTAGTGGCGGCCACGGTACCACTACCTCATAGCATATGGGCTTGACCACGAAAGTGTACAGGGGACTAGTTTCGGGGACATACACATTTGTTGGTCGAGTGCTCCTCTTCAAATTCATATCACGCAGTATCCGCTGGTAGCAGCAGACGAAGGGGTGAGTTGGGTTTTTCGGTGGCTGCCCCTGCGATATTGCGCTAGGCATAATACTCGTATTGTTGAAAGCGCCATCAATATCTAGAAAGACAACTAGCGAAAACTCCTTGATGGCCACTTATTTGTGTATGCGAAACACAAGTTCATGAAACGTAGTTTCTTTCATATAACAATGCTGAGTGGCTCTAATACATAGTGTATAGCCTCTCCATTACCTTTAGTTGAAATGTTGATAAGGTGGTGATTGATAGTCCTTATAGACCTGTTAACCCTCATCCTAGTGGAAGGGTTTCCAATGAGTGAATGTCTCTCATTGACACATGACTGTTCTGGTCCAATGTTGGTATTCTCGGAAAGTGTGTTTGGAAGAAGACCCAGAAATTCCTCCTCGGTATCAGACCTGGTGGCTAGATTTTTGCAAGCCTCGTGGGTTTTTATGAGTTGTACTTAAAAGTATCTTACTGCGCCTAACTCTGAGGTTCATAGGCTCTGCCCCTTTTGCACCGCTGTTCTAAATAAGAGGACTTTTCAAGCAGCATCAAATTCCCGACAAGGCAATCGCCATTCTCAGAAAGCTTAGAGCTATGTATACTTACCCCGCACATTCGTCGCAGCTGCCCCAGGTGTTATGGTGTTCTTTCGCGTCACCTTCAAAGAGTCCTGCCTCCATCATGCTTGTCACTAGCTCGCGTACGCGAGGTGTTTACCCAATTTTAATGTACCCAGTATATGGACCTCAGTCTTAGTGGGCCCGTTTAGGTCCAGACCGGCCATTGTATCCTCACCACTAAATTGTTGCTTTTTCCATTTTTCCTAATAAATATAATCGTGGTACAAAGCTAAATAACAATAATAAAATAAAATGGATTCTGTAGTTTAATACTTGGTATCTTCAAAACCTTTTCCTGGTTCCCCGGCTTTGGTACCACTTACCAGTATATACCCTGGCGTTTTTACCCCATATATGGTTTTTCCCACACCTGAGGGTCCTCTGCTCCCTTAGTTATAATTTGGAACAG